AGGATTTCGATCGCATCTTTGAGATGGATGCAGTCTTCCGTCACGTGCCCGTGGGTCCTGTGGAATCGACAGTATTTTGACTTGTCCACGTTGGGTTTGGGGGGCGTTGGTCGCGGAAAACGGACACCTCCCTGAACAAACTCGGTTTTAGCACATTCGGCCAGTATGCGTTCGCGTGAAGCGACCAAGGCTGTGTACTCTGTAAATCTTCCTGTCGGGCCGCGTGATTCGCGTTGTTCGCGGGGCTCGCGGGGGCGGTCTTCCCGACGGCGGTCCCCTCCCCGTCGATGGCTCGAAGCTCCGTCGTCTCGGTGCCCGCGGGGGGCCTCTTTGTCTCGAGTGTCGCGAGCGGAGTTGGCCGCTTGTGTTTCCTCGAACCGGATGTAATGCGCGGCTCTGTCGAGGAAATCTTGGAGGGACGTGGGCCGGTGTATGCCTACGGCCTCGTAGAATTTGGAGTCGTGGCGCAGGCCCTGTTCCATTAAGTAGCGTTTCATCTCGTCGGAAGTTGTCACCTGCACGGCTTCCCGAGTAAACCTTTCGATGTATTTCCGGAGTGGTTCATCGGGGCCTTGGATGATTGCCCCGAGGACTGCTTCCGTCTTCGGGTGACGTCGGGACGCCGTGAAGTGTTTGGAGAACAGGTCCTTCAAGACCCTCCACGACGTAACTGATTCGGGCTCCAGACTTTTGTACCAGGTCATAGCGCCTTTCCTCAGAGTCGTCGGGAAGAGTCTGTATTTGATAGCTCCCCGGACGTTTCGGTAGTCGAGCATAGCCTCGATATCTTCCAGGTGATCGTCCGGGTCGGAGGTGCCGTCGTACGTCGACAGCGTCGGTGGTTTCTCCATTCCCTGGGGTATGGGGGCTGCCATGATCTCCCGAGATAGCGGGGTGCGGTAGTCATCCTCGTCGTTGTGCGCCGGGGATCTGTGGGGAGATGAGCCGTTCATGGTGTGTCCCTGGTTTCGGGTCCTCGATCTCCTGCCTGAGTCTCGCCTCGGGGTTCCTCGGTTGGGATCGTCGCGGCGTTCTGGTTCCTCCCGCGACCGTGTCTCGCCGGGGATCTGGTGCGTTCTCGTGTCGCCTGCGGGCGGTGTCTCTCCAGCCGTGGTCGGCGGTTCCTGGGTCGAGGTGAGGGGCTCCTCGAACCTCCGTTCTGGTTTTCCCGCTGGGGGTATCTCGGAGGGTCGATGCGTTCTAATGCCCCAATTCTCGCATTTTGTTGGAATAGCAGCTGGTTCGTCTGGTTGATGGCTGTAAAGAGAGCGGCCACCGTTGGGTCTGCTCCCGCCGGGATGGGAACGGGGTGGAATGCTGGCGGGCTCGGGGGGCGGTGATCGGCCTGAAGGGGCCGTTCCTCGGATGATGGTGAAGCAGTTTGCCCGTCCCTTTCATCGGCTTCCGTCGGACGTGCCGTTCCTGTCTGCTTCCCGTTGGTGGCGACGTTGAGCGCAAGGTCGTGCGGAGTGTCATCGCGGCGTGGGCTAGCCATGATCGTGGAGGTTTGGTGAAACTTTTGGTTTTCTGCTCGGAGTAACGGGGAAGTTTCAGGTTCCCACAGACGGCGCCACTGATCTGACCTGATCAGGAGGGATCACGGACTGGCCACACTCCGTTGGGCTGCTACCCTGTTACCGGGGTGAGAAAGAGGAGGGGGTGTACCTGCAAGACACTCTGACGCCCAAGTAAGAAGTTGGACAGAGAGGAAGCAATAGTACAGAAAAAGGGGCAAGAAGAGTTACCTGACCCTCTTGAGGAAGAGGGTATTTATAGGGAGACCTCAGCGCTGGGCCAACGGTCATTCGAGGTGGGCTGGATGACCAGGCCCAACCCTAATGACTGTTAGGGCTTACGTGGCGTAGTGAAGACCAGGACGTGGTCTTCGCCCTAGTTCAACTGCCCCTAGATCCCCGGAAAGTGGGTTTGACCTGCTCTTTCAGAGGTGGGCAGCTGGTCGGTGACGTGTCCCCGCGGAGGGGAGCACGTGGAGAACGTGCGCCGAGCACGTTATTCTCCCCGCGGAGGGGAGCCCGGGTGGTTCTGCTCGTCCGGCGTGGTGGACGACAAAAAGGGTGTGGAGACGTAGCTTGTGCTCGGCGTCCTGCCCCTGCTCGTCTCGAAGGGGGCGCGTGTCTGGCGTGCCCGGTTCGCTTGTTGGGCCGCATGCGGTATTGGGCCTGCCGAGGTGAGGCCCATACCGGAACAAAATATATATATATATATATATATATATATATATATATATATATATATATATATATATATATATATATATATATATATATATATATATATATATATATATATATATATATATATATATATATATATATATATATATATATATATATATATATATATATATATATATATATATATATATATATATATATATATATATATATATATATATATATATATATATATATATATATATATGCTTTCTATAAGAGTAACGTTGAGACCTTAACATAGGATCTCGAAACCTCGGATAAATGATTTATTGTTCGGATGCAGCTAGGAAGGGGTAACGTTGACAATCTTCAAGATCACAGATTTCAAGATTGTAAAGGGGATACCAACTCTAAAATCTTTGATCACCCAAGTATAAAAATAAAAATATTTGCACTTCACCCCTTGAGACCTCCATATGCAGATCTTCTCGCCCGAAAAACATGGCTCCAATATCATAAAGGCCTTGTAACACCGTAATTACATGTCTAGAATAATAATTACAGTATTAACTTGTGGTACGGGATACATTAGAAATTCAAGTCTAAAATTGAACTAGATAATTTTTTTTACAATACAACAAGTCTAACAGACATCCTCAATCAGACAAAAATATTCAGCACAACAAAAATATGATCTAACAGATCTTCAATGTCAAATTCTCAGTTGCAAATCTAGTCCATACACTTGCTTATTTGAAAAATAATATAACAATATATTGGATGAGATACTAATCTCAGTGAATTCCTGGACTAAACAGTTGAACTCTCACTACCATTCTACACGGTTCAAGGTACAATTGCATAATCCATTAAGGTAACTCATATATCTCAAACCCGACTAGTAAGATGGTCATTTATCTTTTATAGCATCCAAAGGGACGTCAACAACCATATAACTCTTAGGTAACCCACTTGGTGTTGGATAAGTGATCTCAAACACAAAAATAAAGAGTGGGGGTTGGGGTTTAATTGGGTGGGTTTGAAAAAGAATGTCCAATTTAAAATTCTTTGAATAATATAATTGTTTAAGAAAATTTTGTAAATCAAACAAAGAATAGGCAATAGATTGAATAAAGAAAAGAAAATCATAATAAAGGAAAAATGAAAGAACATCGAAAGTATAAAGAGATAAGGGTCGAGAGAATTGTACCAGAGATTTATATAGATTTGGTCTAATCATTTGGTCTACTTCTCTCTCCAAAAATTTCTTCTTGAGAGTTTTCATTATAGATGTGATTTTTTTACAAGTTATGCTCATGAATCTTAAAATTAAAACTAGAGTTTTACACTGCCTATCCTCCAAACCAAACACGAAATTTTACACCACTAATTTCATAACTAAACGAAAATTCTTACATCAAACTAAGCTCACAAATTAAACGGAGATTTTGATGGACAATCTCACGTACCATATGAAAATTTTTACACCAAATTTAGCTCACGAACCAACGGAGATTTTGACTAACTAATAAATAGAAACTTTTTGCTAGTTTTACCTACAAAGCAAACAACTTCTTATAAGAGATACTATACAAGAGACAAGAGACAAGGCTCTGTTGAGTAAATTATAACAATAACCCCATCACCAAAACAAATAAAAACCTCATTTGATATTTTTCACTCCCAAAACATTAAAGCAATTTAGTGAAAATGAAAGAATTGAAATGGAGAGTTAGAAACTGAAAAAGCATGTAAAAATGACTTTTGAGTTGTTTTGAAAATGAGGAAAAACTCTCTATAAGAGAAAAATTGACTCAAAAAGAACACCTTTTGTCAATGTCACAAGCAACTTGATGGTTGCTCTAAAAAGGTGGTTTATCAAATAGAGGTTTAAAAAACTTTTAGGCAAGTGTGCTTTGCCTTAGGAATTTAAGAATCACTCGGACCAATATTTTAGTGTTAGATTACGTTAAAGAAAAAACTCATACCTAAATATTTTTATGTAAATTGAATGTGTATTATTATGTATGTGCTTTTATTGACATATTCATGCCTTTTTTTTTTTTAAAGTCTACCTATGTATTATAGACTGAAAATCTTTATGGAATGTCATATTCGTAGCCGAGTTTGAATCGAGAACAAAACTGAAGCAAGCTTCAGCCAATTTTCAGATTATTTTGGCAGAGTTCAATTGAGTATGCTCGGAACACTGGAACGATAATTTCATGAATCATGTGACATATCCCAAAAATGTGGATGAAAAATAAAGAATCGTGTATCCTGACAGACATACCTTCAAATCATATAAAGCATTCACCGGTTAAACAGAGTTTACAAATATCAGAAGACACTTGGAATGAAGCAGGTGTCAATGTGAAATATGATCACAGACAATCATTGTAAAGCACCATGGCTGTAGCTTTTAGATTTAAAATACAAATCCATTCACTTCACCTGATAATTTATATGCTGATAATAGAAATCCAGTTTCACTGAAGCTACAAATAACACATAACTTTTTTTTTTGTTGTTGTTTGGGGGGTGGGAGAGGAATTAACAGATGGTCATCAAATATGTTATGAGATGGAGTTGCAGCAATAAAAGTAAAAAAAGCTGATGATAGTACCAATGAGCTGGAAAACTCGATGGAATTGATTACAGTACCCCCAACTTCAGCATACATCCACAACAGCAGTCTACAATTTCAGCTCCTCTTTGGAGAAAACTTCTGGAAAAACTCTTTTAGGGGGCTAAAGATCAAGATTAATCATCTTGTTTAGCTAGTTGCAACAACCATTTCATTCGCTGAATCATATGATTGCATCAAGCTAAGTACTTGAACATATTTGGATTTTCTTTGTCTCTTTCCAAGTAGTCCCGAGAAATCAAATCTTCAATCCTCTTTTTAATTGCCTTGACATCAGGCTGGATAAAACATGCCATATAAATTTTTTTAGCATTTGAATGGAAAAACACACAAGATTGCATAGAAAAGTGATTAAGTAAGAAACCTTGAACATGCGACCCAACTGCTCAACGCACTCCATAACTAAATTTTGGTATCCCAAAACTTTCCGACTCTTCATAATGCGCACAATTGAGGCGTCAATGGCATATCTTCTGTCTTTGTCAACATCCTCAATTACTTTTTTCTTCTCATCCACGGGAGGTAGAGGAATCTATATGAATTATATTTTTTGCAACAGCTCCGCTCAAAAACCGGGTAAAGAGAATAAAGAAAATATTAGAATGCTATTTTAAAATAAATTATACCTTGATCCTCCTCATTTTATCAGTGAATTTTGAATTAAATTCAAAATAATCAGTGGGTGTAATTGTTTTTGTATTAGGTTCCTTGATAAGAATCTTGTACTTTGCACATGATAAGGAGTGGAGCAGTCTAATGACATCTTCATCCAATAAGTTTAACTGAGTCATTATCTCAGAATAACTCAGTCTATCAGAGGAATTAAAAAGCAGCAATGCCGAAGCCTATTGAAAAATAAGACATCATTGAGTAAGTAAAAAGAAATCCAAACAAAAATTCGCTGACATATATATATAAAAGATAAGTGGGTGGTAAGCAACATAACCTGGTAGGTTGTGACAACAAGCTCCACAGTTTTGGGGTCAAATTTCCCACTTATGTTGCAGGTGCCCAAGGAGTAAATCCATGTAAGTTTTCTGTGCTTTGTTTTAGTTTGATAAAATTCTTTGAAAACTTCAACGCACTTAACCTGAAGGAGAGAGAGGGGTATTAATTATACACAAATTTAGGTTTAGTATCCATCACTGAACATCAAATTCTAGATTGTTATATCAAGCGGGATCCAGCTTACCATTTCTGCAGGAAGATTGAGATCAAAAGATTTATAACTTGGCCAGAAGCCAGTAGTTAGAACTGTCACTGTCAAGTCTATTCCAGGGTCTGCATTAGGATTATTGTTTAAATACTCCTCAAAGCTAGTTTGGTTCTCCTTTGCCAGCGTCAAATCTGTAACCTGGTGGGAGTGACAGAATCTTCTAAATTTACTTTTGCCAGCCAACAAAAAAAAAAAGCAACATCTAGTATATTCATATTGGCCTTCTTTAACAAAAAACTTGAAAAAACCTACCATTCCTTCCATCTTCGAGGTAAACTGTCCTCCACACTGTTGCTTCAATTTTGTCAAAATACTTCTCTCGTGATCATCATTGGCACTCTTGTCAAAAAGAAGCCTTCGAGCAAGCTTCTTCCTGAAAGCAACCAAACAAGAACACTGTATTAATTTCTTTTTCGAAACATCTTACTCTTACATGAATAAAAGTGCAATTTTGATTTTCAGACATAGCCACAGAAAATCGTTCGCCGCTTTCAGGTAAATTTTACATAATAAATGGTATCAGGTAGTAATTGTGTAAGCATAAGATCTATTAAACGTGTTACGAATCTTTACAAAGATCAGACATTTTAATTGTAAATTGTTCTTTCTTAAATGTCATGGTAAAATATTGTGATGCTACTACATTTCTAAACTACAGAGAATATTTAGGAAACAATATTTTTATTTAGAGTGGGGAAGACATTTTCCATCATCAATCTTTTGTCCAAAGAATTCCAAAACAATACTTCATTAAAATGTCCATCATATATATTCTAGATTCATAAGGAAATGCAATAAAAAAGAAATAAACTTTGATTTTCCCATTTTTCCATATTTTCCCTCGACATTATCTATTTCATTTATTTTAGCTAAACATTCATCTCAGTTATGTCAAGAACCAGCTCATCTAAGAGTTTATATCAGTAGGTGAAGGCCCAAAGTTGGTTTTATATCTCTTAAAATGATGGCTTAAGCAAGTCTGTTTTGGCTTAAAATGTGGGAAGACACCATGATTTAACTAAAGGAATAGAAGTGGCGGGAATTGACTCATAATCAACTGGTCATAAAGGCTCTAAAATACTGTCCTGAACCAAGTAATTAGGTGAAAGCCCAAGGTTGTTGTATTAATGTGTATAAAGTTAGGGGAAACAACTTTTGCATGACACAATTTAACTTAGGCTCTGTTTGGAGGGGAGGGGAAGAAAGGGTTTCAAAGAGAGGGGATTTGAAGAAAAAATCGATAAATCTAACATTTTTTGAGATGGTGTTTTTGTATAGAATGATAAATGAATGTTCATCATTAATATATTTTAAATTTTCAAAAATTTATAACAAAGATTATATTCGAAGAATTTACTTAACCCGTTCTCCAATACAATTTTTGAGTTCCCCCAAACTAGAGTCATTTTGTATTATGAGTAAAAATACCTCCCCAACCCACCTAACTCCCCATTCGTTCTTTCCACTCCAAACTCTCAAACAAAGAAAGCCTTAGAACAACCAAGAACTATAGCATTAATTTCAATGAATCAGTAGTCAGCAGACGCACACAGCAATGGAAGTAAGTACTAAAAAATGAAGATTGAAGACCAGTGAAATTTTCTTTTTGTCTGTGGACAACATATCACCCAAAATTGTCTTCTCTTTTATATTACCTGTAGAACTCAGCAAACAAGTCTTTGTCACTAATATAAGCGAGCAGCTTTACCACCTGCAGATAGAACAAAACAAATACCAGTCAAAACGGCATATATCCAGTCAAAACAAAAACAAGTCTGTGTAAATGTTGTGCATTTTGTCAAATCCACACGTATCAAATTCATAAAACTAAGAGTATAAGTGTTGCGGACCTTTTCAAGAGTTTCTTCAATTGCTTCATCACTCAATTTTTCACTTCCTCCTTTCTTAAGAATGTTATCACAAAATGTGGCAAGAAGCTCTGCACTAGAGTTTCCAGCAACGCCTTTGTTGCAAAAGACTTCAAAAGCCTCTTTGAGAGCCTATGTGATCAAATCTTTCAGATTTACATGCACATCAATCTAACATAACTGTGAAATAAAAACCAATCTCAAGACAAAACCTTGTGGAAAAGAGTGTGATTCTGGAAACAGGAGTTCACATATGCCAAGTACTTGTCATGCAACTCAATCACCTTCCGAACAAAAACCTGAAGAGACAAATTTCAGTTTCCATAGATGAAAAAAATTGTAGTTAAACTAATAAAATGTAAAATTTCAAGAATCACCTGGTCTTGCGTACTAACAATATCCTTTTTATCTGCCTGTAGACATTACCATTTAAAAGGATAAAATAGAAAGGTCAGTAGCAAACATCAACTCACAACATCAGCAGTACATGTAGGTGACACAATTAATGCATCAATTTATCATAAAGCAATTCTAAAATCATTTCATGTTCACCATGCACTGAAATCTGAATAAAAGAAGTCATTATGCACTCCGAGTAAAAAAAAAAGGCTTAATTGCAATTTTGGTCCCCTTATTTTCACTTTTTTTGAGTTTTGATCCCCCTATTTTAAAAACCGAAATTTTGTCCCTCTATTTTCAGTTTTTTTCAGTTTTGGTCTCCCTATTTTAAAATTCGGAGTTTTTGTCCCTCCATTTTCATTTTTTTTGAGTTTTGGTCCCCTTATTTTCATTTTTTTAAACTTTTGGTCCCCCAATTAAATTAGTTCCAAATTGGAAAGGGGGACTAAAATCCAAACCAAAACTTAAAATAGGGGACCAAAACTAAAAAAAAAAAGAAAATAGAGGGACAAAAATTCTGGATTTTAAAATAGGGGGATCAAAACTCAAAAAGAAACAAAAAATGTAAGGACAAAAATTCCGGATTTTAAAATAGGGGGATCAAAACTCGACAAAAATGAAAACATAGGGACCAAAATTGCAATTAAGCCAAAAAAAATTGAAAACGAATTGTGAACACTTAAATGTTGCAAAATAAGCATATACTAGTTTTTCCTAATTTATTGCATTTAGAAATTAAATCTTTTCAACCTGAAGAAAGCAAAATTGTAGAATAGCTAATTCAGGCACATACCTTTTTGTTACTAGCTGCATCTTCAGCGTGCTTCACCAATGCCATGCCTTCAGTGGTAACATGCTGGGAAGAGGGAAAAAGATAAAGATGTGAAAGCAAGAAGAAAGCAGAAAAGACAAGAACCCAGAATTATGAATATATTAGCATTATCAAAGGGAGGAAAAGCATAAAGATAAGCTCAATGCCACCAACCTGCTTAAATATACTAGAAACAGGATCCAAGCCACGGGGTATTTTAGAAAATAGCCTGAACATCCTTGACAAGTCTTCACACTAAACATTAGAAGGAAAACATGAGAACGTCCTTCCCATTCACGGTTAAAATTTATGTTATACATTACAATTAACAAGTAAAAAGAATTTCATGCATACCTTATCATCTCTAAGTAGAGCATGACATCCTGAGTGTTCTTTCTCAAGGAGCTGACTTGCATACACAGACAACAGCTCATTTTGAACTTTCTATGAGAAATTTTCCAGGAGAACAAAGGGAAACAAAGGAAAAGTTCAGAAACAGATTTTCTGTAAATTGCCTAGTAATCTACTCAACATAGCAGAAGACAGAATAGGTGGAATGGTATACAGTATTAAAAAGCCCAGAACAAACCTCCAATAATTTTGGCTCACTACTAGAGTGCAGGTAATGAGCAACCCTATCTTTCTCTCGTCTTAAGCACTCCTCAGCCTGTTGTAGAAAACACAAGATCAAATAGAGGACAGAGATGCAAATGAAGAAACACAATTACAGTAAGCACAAATGAGAAACCATACCTTGAGCATATAATCAGGACAAGAATCTTCTAGGATCCAATTTGAAGCCTTTCGAGAATAATAAGCAGAAGTGTCTTTTAGCATGTCAGCTTCAAAATCACTTTCATACTGGTCCATTTTCCCCATTCCAATTTCAACAAATATATCTAATACATTCTTTAATAGCGCTCGATCAATTTGCTCTCCCTCACGTTCTTGATCAATCTTTGAATAAAAAAGGATTAGTTAGTTTATAAAAATTGATACACATAGATAACCTACCATACAAAGAAAGACAAACATACAAGTGAAATAATTGCATCTCTCATTTTCCCATGTAGTTCCTTGTAAACCTGTAAATAATAAAAATCGTAAATTTATTTTGTAATGAAGCAGTATTAAATGCAATGATAATAACGGGAAAACATCAAGATTTGCAATAATATTACAAAGCTTGTCTATATATATTGATATTATGAACAAAAGTAGCTAGTATAAAGAATTAACATGGCATTATGTAAAGTTCATTGTAACATTACCAAATCACGGAAGCAAGCCAACCCAACTTCATTAAGGGGTGGAAGTGACCTCCGGGCAATAAAGTAGCGGTCCAAATAGTGAAAGAAGCGAGAAAGCCACCTCACCATAATTTTATGGTTTGCCCATCTCTTTACAAGTTCTCTTAACATAAACTCATCATGTTTTTCTCTCAAAGAAGGTAACACCTGAACCAATAAGGGGAGAAAAAATTAAATAAAAGGGAAAACAAAAGATTGCATTTATTAGCATAAGGATTCTGATTAAAACATCTAAAGCAGTCATTTAAAGCGGTCAGGCAGGTAGAGAGAGCTCAAACTGATGAAATGAAATTATCAAAATTCAAAACATAAAAAGAGTTACTAATTCATTAAACTTTCAATTGCATGAATCAGTACCAAATACCATCGCCCCAAAATATAAGTTCCTGTTGACTAAGTCACATAAAAAACTTGGGTACTAGAACTAAATTTGTTTAACAGATGCTATTTTTTAAGTTTACCCTTCATAGAATTTATCACTCACTTATTGGTCACAGGAGAAATATGCAAAATAATCAGGGATATTTTAGTAAAGAAATAATTAATATGGTTGAAAATTTGAAAGGGACCTAGGTCTAATGCAAATCATCTGATATTTTGCATATGCCCACTACAACACTGCCCCCACTACCTACCAATGAAGCACTAACATACACCAAGACATAACAGTAGCCTTGACAATTTGACACAGACACCAATAGTAATTCGATAAAATGGAATTGAATAGATGTAGCCACGCATGTCAATGTTGTCCGAATATCAAACACTCGGAGACACCTTCAACCCCAAAGAGTCATTGCCCTTGGCTACATACCATTTGTTCTCAAGAACAATACATCAGCAAATGCCACTTGAATGGTATATTCTTGCCCTCTGCTTATTTCCCTTTGTTGTTACTACTATATATGATTTGTATGGCGGCACATCCTTCAATTCCAAAATCGGGATACATGGGTAGTGTGTTCCCATAAAAGTATTTGTCACCCAAAAACACTTTATTCATTATGTGCTCCCCTTCCCCTTAACTCTAAACTATGATTACCTGGTTGTACTTGGGAAACATTTCAAAACCGAAGTCCAGATCCAATTGTCACAAACAAAAGATGCGGCGTTATGCAATATGCAAGCTAATAGCATCACAATACTAAAAGGGTAAAGAACATATAATACATCATAAACAATTTCAAGTTGAATAAAGCACTAAACACCCTACGAGAATATGATAGCCAAATGACAGTGTTACTCACAGTTGACACGATATACTCTTCAAATGCCTCCTTATACTTATCATACAGATGTTGAGAATAATCATGAGGAGGCTTTTGAGTGCACATATTATAGATAGTCCTGCAATACAATTCACACAATAACAAAAACAAACAGTCATCAAATGAAACATAGATAAAGTTCGAATTCGAACACAGATAAAAATCTCAAGGAAACAACAACAAAAACAAGCAAAATTCATATGAGAATCAGGGATGATAAAAACATACGTATATAGCATCATGTAATCCTCAGGGCTGAACTGAGGTTCAGGCAAACCTTCTAGAATATTCTTAAGCTTCATGATACCCCTATGCATAAAATCCCATCCTTGTTCTAGGTCGATAGTTTTCCGCTCACTCAACGACATAACAACGAATCAACAAAAAACCAACCAAAAATCTGCAATCAAAGATTTCCGAATTGGATAGATATCAACATCAATGAATCAATCAAAAGAAATTTACTCGATTAGATAGAATTAAAAACGAAATAGATTCACGAATAATAAATGCGAAAAACGATAGCAGTAAAGGTTAGGGTTCGATGATTGAGAAGTTAACCTTGGATGAGACGAATCGGAGAGAGAAGAAAACCCTAAGTTGAAGATGGAGATGGAGAAAGAGTGAAAGGGGAAGAACGTTGAGAAGAAGGAGCAAGAAAAAACAACACGAGCATTGATCGGAAAAGAAAAGAAAAATGAAAAAGTTTAAATATATAGTAATGTTGTAAAACATGATAAAAGATAAGAATTAACTTCATTTACTTTTTGTTTGTAATCAATAAAAGTTGATATTTACTGGTAATTAAGAGGGAGTTAGTGGTGCAATTTGAATAGATTTTGAGTAAAAAAAAACAATTATCTAATCTAAAACAGAAATTATATATAATTTAATTTCGATCACTATATAAAAAAGTTGATTTTATCTAATTTTCTACTAATTCTTTGTATTTTATTTGGATGATGAATAAAAGATAGAAGAAAAAAAAAAAAAAAAAATATATATATATATATATATATATATATATATATATATATATATATATATATATATATATATATATATATATATATATATATATATAAAGTGACATAAATGTACTTAAAATAGAATAAGTTACTATATAAAGAATAAAAACAAATCAAAATTAACATTTTGGTGATAAAAAGTAACATAAAAAATATCCATAGAAGAAAACAAAAAAAGAAAAAAGAATATATTCTTAATTTAATAATTTAAAATTACTATTTTATTAATAAAAAATATAATTGTTGAAGAACTACCTACAATGAATACAATAAATAGTAAATTTAAAAGGAGAAAAGAGATGGTGCTTTGAATTGAATGTAAATCAATGACTATCACTTATTTTGACAAATTAGGTTGAAAATTTTAAATTTTTTATATGACGTTAGAGTTATATATTTTTATTGGATAATTGTGTAAAACTTTTTTACATTATAAATGCATCTCTATTAAATTCATCTAAAAAATTACACCAATAAATATAAATACTAACCAAATGTTAAATGATTAATTAACTAATTTTAAATAGAAAATATTTTAAAGATAAATAAATCAGGTGTTGTGAATTTAAATTATCATCTATACATCTAATATCTTTACACAATTATCAACTGAATTTATTTAATCAAATATTTATAACTTTTTAATCATTTGTAATATAATTCCATATGTTATTTTCTATTTGGGAGCATTAGCTTTCGAGCATACCTATGTCACCTATAATAATAAATATATTTTTAGAAAAATTAGTTTTGAGTAAAAAGAACTAATTGGAGTAAAATAAATATCATCTAAAACTAATATTATTTGTAATTTAATTTGGACCATTATATATAAAAAAAGTTGATTTTATCTAATTTTATACTAATTCTTTATATTTTATTTGAATAATGAATAAAAGATAGAAGAAAAAAGTAAAAGAAAATAAAGTTTAAAAAAAAAATTAAAAACATTTGAAAATATTATTTAATATCTTAGTAAAAAACAATATATATTTATAAAGTCTCACAAATGTACTTAAATAGAATAAATTACAATAAAAAGAATAAAAACAAATCAAAATAATTAACATAAAAAATAGCAATATAAAAAAACAAAAATAGAAAGAAAAAAAAATAATATATTCTCATTTTGATAATTTAAAATTACTATTTTATTAATAAAAAATCTAATTTTTTACATACTACATTCAATAAATAGTAAATCTAAAAAAAAAAAAATAATGCAGCAACAACTAACTAAGTAAAATAATTTTACACTGTCAACCAATAACGATCATATATTCCAATAAGTTAAACTGGAATTTTTAAATTATTTGTATGACATGATAAAGTGATATATTTTCAATTGATGACAATGTAAATTTTTTTTACACTATCGATATATCTTCATTAAACTCATCTAAAAAAATTATATCAATAAATTAAAATATTAATTAAATATTAAATGATTAATTAACTAATTTTAAATAAAAAAATTTTAAAGATGAATAGGACGGATGTTCAAACTATGAATCTAATATCTTTGTAGAATTATCAACTAAGCTTATTTAATAAGATATATTATTAAATTTCTAATTGCATGTTATATAATTTTTTTCATGTCACCTAAAACAATAAATATAGTTTTAAAAAAAAATTGATTTTATCATTCAAAAATAGATAGTAGTGCAACTTCTTACCCATTTTGTAAAATTTTGATTATATATATCTAATTGGATCAACTTAAGCAAGTTTGAAGTCAAAACTAAGAATATTTTTGTAATTTTATATATTTTTATTTATTTATTTATAAAATTCATTTCTCTCAATTGAAAAAAGACACATAGAAATGAATGAGAAATCATTAAAATAACAACAATTTGTCCTTTATTAAATGGCTTAATTAATTTATAAAATTTAATCATATTTTTTGTTGTTTCATTTGACTAGAATGAAAAATATATTTTTTATTAATTCAATTGATTAAAATCTATAAAAAGAATTAATTGCTACATAACAATTTTTTATTAAATGTTTTTTGTTACTATGAAATATATATAAACATTTTTTGTTTTGATTTATTTTAATTTTTAAGATTTTGAGTATTTTTAAAATAAAATTATTGAATTATAATTATAACAACTTGTTTATGCTAATATATTATAAAAAGCACAAATAAACAAATTAATATTGTTTCCGTGTATTAAATAATTATTATTTTTTATTTAATTATTTTTGCTTTTTATTATATTTATTTTTTTAAAGAAAATTGTGTTATTTTAAAAATACAAAATTCTTTTCGTGTGTGACTGACATTAGTATGACATATGAATATACGTCATACATTGATGTCTAGAGCAAAAAAAAAAATGTAATGCATAAGTCATAGAGAATGACGCATTCTTTATGACACGATTCTTTTTTTTTTTTTGAAAAAATGATTAGTTTGATTTTTTTTTTTAAATATGGTTATTGGAAAATTTCTTTTAATAAAAATGGTTATTTAAAAAAAACATAATATCTAGTTAAAATTATAATTAAATTATTTTAGTTTAATTTTTTTAGAGAATATAAGTTGTTTTATTTTTTAAAAGAACTATGTCGATTGGGATCTATTGACAAATAAATATGTAGAAGAAGAATAGATTAGTTGTAAATGTAAATTATAATAAAATTAGTAACTATTTATAAAATATAAAAATTACCGTTACATTTTTAAAAAGTAAAAAAGTAGCTGTTGCATTTGGCAGATATTTGATTCAAATATTATGGCATATAGCACTAGGGGTGTGCATGGATTATAAACCAAACCAAATCAAACCACATATATGGTTTGGTTTGGATCTTAAAATCATTTATATAAAATCGGTTTATTTTTTTAAAACCGGTTTACAAGTGGATTGGTTTAGTTTCAAACCGGTTTTTAAAGAAAAAAACAGTTTTTTTAAAAACCAGTTTTAAACCGGTTTCTCTCAAAACCAGTTTTTTATTTTCTTTAAAGAAATCAGTTTTAAAACCAATTTTATAAAAAAAAAACAATTTTAAACCCAATTTTAAAAAAAAAATCAATTTTATTGCAAACAATAAATAATTGATAAATCATCTGAAACATTTTAATTCTATACTTTGTATTAAGAAATGAAAATGTTCAAGCACGAGTATTTGGCAGTACAGAAAAATTGATTATTACATATATGGAAAATTTATATAGAAAATTAAACATGAACACAGTCAAAGTAATAAGACAACAATCATTAAAACCAATATGCTAGTCTACGATTCCCAAATCCACCAAATATGCTAGTCAAATTATTATTGCAAGAGACATTTTCAACCCCTGATGCTTCATCTGGTCCAAGTTGTACATGTGATATGAATGTCATATCCACCTCCCATCCTCTTCACACCACTTGAATGAAAATTTCTACTCACTGTCACAACATAACAACAATGTCTTCCAATTAAAAAATAGAAAATTAAGGGTAACAACAATGTCTTCCAATTAAAAAGTAGAAAACTAAGGATAATAAAAGGGAAAACTTAATCAAAAATACCATTAAGTCTTCTTTGAATGCAACAGAGGTTGAAGAGGTTGAACAGCTAACACCATCTTCTGTATAAACTAATTCCACAAAACATATAAAGGCATTTCATTATGCCTCAAGTATAATAAATAATAATACATTAGGAAATATAGTTAGTTATCATACCTTGCTCAAATCTCTCAAGAGTATCAAAATCTTCATTTGTAATCAAGGATGAAGATGTTCCTTTGAGCCAATCCTGGGTGCAAATCAGTGTTTCAACTGTTGTAGGTGTTAACGAGCTGCGATATGGATCAAGCACTCTTTCTCCTGTACTGAATGCAGATTCAGACGCCAATGTGCTTATAGGTATAGCCAGCACGTCTCTTGCAATGTTTGCAAGGATGGGATATCGGCCAGAGTTAACTTTCCACCACTCTAAAACATTTATCTTCATGTTATGCTCCAACTTCTCTCCAAGATAAGTACTTAATTCATTATCTACATTGTCACACCCTTCTAAAAGATAGAACTCAGCAATTCCATAAGGATGACTAACACTACCAAAAACTTGCGGCTCATCTGGAGGAGACGTAAATCCAGCACAATATTCTTCATAAATAGATTTCAAGTAGAAATCTAAGTTTGCTTTCAAGGCATCTGCATCATCCTTATTGTAGTACCGCCTTACCATCCAATCAACCAATTTAATCTTGCGCCTAGGGTCGAAAACTAGAGCAATCAACAAAATCATATTAAGCTTCTCATGAGATCCCCAATACTTATCATACTTCTTCTTCGTCTTTTGAGCTGCTGAACGTAGATGTTCATCTTCAGATGCACACATATCCGCAATGCTCTTTCCAATACCCAGGACCTCAAACATATAAATATTGCTTGTCAAATAAGATGACCCTGATATGTGTATTGTAGCATCATAAAACAACTTCAAGAATGGAATGATTAAGTTGATATGCTTCCAATCATCTTTCATCGGGACACCTTTTCCCTTATTTGTCAACTCATTCACATACCTAGAACAACATAAAATGTTTAACATAAATTGAAGTATGAATATTTAACACAACCATCAAATAAATACTTTTGTTGATAAAATCCATATTGAATTGGATTAGAGAGGGAGATTTAAATAGTAGATACTTTCAGAGTCAAGACGGGAAGGATCATGATAAATTTCATAAGTTCCATAAATACTAGTGGAAGGGTAGTTGAATCTGTAAGGGATGTTAAAGAAGAGGTGAGAAAATTTTATATGGAAAAGTGTAAGCAATTAGATTATTACATGCCTAAAATGGAGGTCCAAGTGTAAGATATTTTATTTAATGGAAGTCCAAGTGTGTACTTTGAGTTTTGTAGATATTTGAGACACGGTGACCCCTATCACCCTGTCTTGTACCCTAAGCTGTTTAGTAAAGAGCAATTGAGAAAAAGAAAAATTGTGTAAGGTGAGCATGATTCTTGTTGCGTGTTTTGTTTTCAAGAAGAAGAATACTTAGACCACATCTTCCTAAATTTTCGAATAATCTTGAAATTTGAGAGAGTGTGAAAAAGTGGATCAATGAGCACATAGTCTTGGATGGGCTAGTTTGGAATTTCTTTATCACCTTATGAAGAATCTTGAAAAATAATACTAAAGAAGACAAGGAAAGAGTTATATGGTTGCCTACATCTTAGTGCATTTGGAATATCAGAAACAAGATTTTATTCAATGATTCATTTTTTAATGTTGGAGACATATGATGGTTCAACATTGATAACAGAGGCATATGATGTTTCAGGTAGTATAAGTTCTAAACAAACATAAACAAAAAAAAGTTTCACGTACCTTTTATCTCGAAAACATAATTCTTCAAAGGTTCTTTCATGTTTTGATGCGGATACTAACATCAAATAAGTTGAATTCCAACGAGTCTCAACATCTAGAGAAACTAAACCTTCAATATTTTTTCAATTTTGGTATTCTAGCAAAGCAAAACCTTCAAATAAGGGTTGTACACCTCTGAAAATGCACCCAAACACCTCCCAGAAGCCAAAAACCCGCAGCTAAGGCCCATCGGCCAAAACAACAAAGATGGTGTTTGCCATCAAGGCGTGGCGTTTGCCACAAGTCTTAAACATGCAAAAACGTGATAGAAGCGAAAAGCTTCATTTTATCCCTAATTTTAACTTATCATCTTCTTCCCAAACCTAGTATCTTCCACCATTAACCCACACAAAATCCCATTCACTCACATTTACTCTCCATAACTCTAATACCCATTATCTTCTCCATTAACCCATCCACTCCTCAACCTTGAAACCCCTCATTTTCAACTCAAAATACCAAAACCCCCCATTTTACATTTTCACCAAAATACTCCATTTCTTTTTACCAAAATCAACAACAATTGAGGAAATGGGTGGCAGAAGAATCATTTTCCAAGAAGGAAGGGATGGCACCAACCAAAGAAAAAAATTTGAGGAATTACAAACTTGCGAAGTCTTCGCCACATGGTATGTCGACGACGCTTGTTTATACAGTTTAGGAATTTACTGTAGTGTTTATTATCTGCTAGAAACATTAGGACTGCACCACCTGTTTGAGCATAGAGACCATACGTATGTGAGTCTGACACGAGAGTTCTTAAGTTCGCTCATTTACTTTGTCAAGTCCAAACACTGCAAGCACCGTAGGCACTATTAAGTTCCACATGTTCAATGTAGAATACAAGTATACAACTGATCAGCTTGCAGAGTTGTTGGGATTTCCCTATGGGGAATGTGTCTTATGTGAGGCGCCAATATACATAAATTAGGCAGTTAAGGCAGGTACATTTTAGAGGGAGATAACAGAAGTCGTCATCAGCGACATCCAGATCAAGGAGAAGGTGGCAGTGGTGGCCAGGAGTAGTAGCTTATCTAGGTTCTACATATCCTTTTTACCACCTTTTATTGAAACATTGGGGAGAATATAACAAGTTGCATGACCAATCTTCAGTGGACCAATATAACAAGGAATGGTAAATCTACCTAGATCAGTTAATTTAGGTGGCATCTTTTGTTGAACAACCGCACTACACTCTTCTGCTAAAGCAATATTATCATCATACTTTAGTTTACGCTTTCCGATTAAGAGCTATTTCAAGAATTTTTCATACACTAGCATATTCTCAAGAGCTTCACATAATGGAATATTGACCTATATCTTTGTAAGCATCTCTGTAAACTTCTAAAATTTCCCCACTTCCATTTATTTCTTTGGTTTATTCTTCAAGATGAGGTAAGATGGCTTGACATAGTATGGTTGTTTGGGATTATGTTCATTCAGAAATTGTATTTAAGTTATTTTCAAAGGTAAATTTTGGACTATGAGCCTATAAGAGTATCACCCCTAACAAATTCTTCGCTCGATTTCTCATTTGTTTCTCCTTCTGATTTTTTCTCTCCCTTTTTTCAACTACTTCCTCATCTTGACTTTTCTTCTCACTCTCACCTATTTCTTCTCTCTCACCACTAACACTACATATTGAAGGTATCATTCTATTTCGCAGCTCGTTGGCTTTACAAATCTAATTCTCCGGGTTATTTATGGTATTCCCATGAAACCCCCACCGGAACTAGGTTGCGCTTCTAATTGTCTACATAATTATCCAATTTGCATCTCTAGACTTTTGATGGACGCTTCAGCGTTCTTACTCACAGTCTCCAGGTTCTTTGTCATGGCTTATTGATTCTTGCTTAGTTTCTCAAAATTCTCCTATGGCTTATTGATTCTTGCTTACTTTCTCAAAATTTGCCTAAGTCATTTTCATAATTTAAGCCATGGATTCTTCATGTTGAGATGGTTTCCTTTGTTGTGGAGCTTGTTGAACACCTTGATTTGCATTCAGATTTTGATTGTTGCTCAGCTTGAAGTTGGAACGATCTTTCGAACTAGTGTTATAAGTGTTGGAATATGAATTATTCTTTTGAAAATTTGCATATTAAACTTCTGTACTAACTCCTTCTGGTACACGGTTTCCCCTAGCATGCCCTTCACCATATAAATTACCTTTAGTTGAGCGAACACTGCAATATTGGCATCCAATTCTAGTACACTCTTTAGTTTAAATCCTCTTTCACTTTATGAACGATACTTCTTTTAGAATATTTTCTCGATCAACACTTTCACTTTATTTTCATTATTTGTTTAGATGGTACCTCTAGCTGAGGCATCCAGAAGCATTCTTGCTTGAGCTTTTAGACCTCTAGTGAAATGTTGCATATATTTCATACTACTCATGTTGTGATTCAGACATCTTATGAGTAATAGTTTGAATCTCTCCCATATATTAGATAAGGACTCAACATCACCTTATCTAAAATTTGAAATCTCAAGTCTTCTTTCCATAAGCCGGGTATTCGTGAAAAACCTTTCTAGGAATTTATCTTTCAACTCCTTCCATGTATGAATAGTCCCTTAGGTTAAACACTACAACCAATATTTAGCCATTCCTATTAGAAAAAAATTTGAACAACCTTAATTTGATATGATCATCAATCATTCCATCAAGTTTGCACATCAAACATGTCTCATAGAAGCGAGCCAGATGCTCTTATAGATCTCTGATAGCTTGTCCTTCAAACGAGTTATCTCTCAAAAACGAAAGCACAAAGTTCTTAATATCAAAAGTAACATGGATAACAGGATGAAATCCCAAACAAATTTGTCTAACATCAATCCTCCTGTAGTAGTCCCCCATCGTTTGTCTCGATGGAATTGTCATTTCTTGTTTCTCTTGATCGCTTTTGTTATCAAAAGAAACAAATATTTTATCTTCTTATAGCTTCTTTTTAATTATCTGTGCTTCTCTATTTTCTCACCAAATTTCTATTGTAGTCTTCTCGATCTCTAAATCCAATGGTATCAGTGTTGGGCTTGAACCTCTCATAAACAACATAAAATACCTTAGTAGCGTTGCACCAAACTAAAATTAAATAAGAGTAAAAATAAAAGTTAACTAAAAGAAAATAAAAATAAAATAAAATTTAAAATGTAGCATAAAAAATGCCTTGCTAAAATAATTCAACAATCCCGTCTTAGCAAGTGTACTACATGTTATTGAAGTAATAAAATAAATTTGTATCCACATGGATTGTTTTCTTTTAACAAGAGGATTAAAGTGATATTGAAAGTAAAATTGGTTTTTTTTTTTTGGTTTGAAAGAACAATTGCGGAAATAAAAAAGTAGTTGAAAAATTAATCAAATTATAAACTATTAAGCCTTGCTTGTAATCCCGTATATGTCACTATCGATGATGGTGTCTATTTCTCCGATGTTGATTTCTCGACGATTATGATGATTTAAATTAGCTGTTATACCCAATTCTTTGATATATAAATCCCTAACCCTTAAGTCAATTAGATAGTTAAATAAAACATTGTTTAGTATGTTAAAAATTAAGTCAGAACTTATAGTTTTTTATTCCTAATTAATTACTAAGAAGAAAAGTTAATTTTGATCATACTCGTATAATTATGGTCAATACTGAATAAACCAAAAGTGTCAATTGTACAATACACAAACATATGATTTGTTAGGTTCATATAGATTCATATAGCAAGTCATAATCAATATAAATTTAACTACTTATACTGATAGTAATCATAACTGAAGAAATAAAAAGACCATACATGAATCTTCAGTTAGAATTTGGCTTCCACTGATGAAAAAGTTTGCTCTAAACCTCCAAAACTTGCTTTGTTGCCAGAAATCTGTACAAAAAATGGTCTTCCCTGTTTCCTCCTTGTTTTCCCTTCTTATAGGTAAAAACATGACATAAAAAGGTTTCATCGTGCCTCAATGACTTTTCATTATGCTGCGATGTATTGCATATTTATCCGCGATGTAGCCACGAAATTCCATGAGCAAAGTGTTATTTTTTTCACAATTCTCTCTCTCTTTTTTAACCTTTTTGCCTAAATATTTCACATATTTATTTTCTTTTTATTTATTAATCAAAATTAACTAAAATCACCTGAAAATGGTTTAAAACACATGCAAATGCTTATAAAAAATGCATGATGACAGAGTGTTGTCAATTTCCCAACACTAATGAATTTTCTGCGTAAAATTCTTTTTTGATAGCCTGACTTTGTACATTGTTTATGATTAGTTCTAAATTGTCTTTTATATTTCCTCTTTTGCATAAAGGATGCCCCATATTGTTGTAAGAAAATAAAGTGACGATGGCGAAGGCTAAAGCACATTGGGGTGAGGTGGAATCGCTTCACCATAGTGACCTCTCTATCTTCTAAGCTCGAGCGGCCGAGAAAAGGAATTTGGTTATTAATGGGAAAGTCGTTAAAGGTGTCCCTTTATATATCATCTTGATACCTCCTCCTCCTGAAAGTAAGAGGTTGTCATAAACAAAGATGAATAGGGAAAATCCTTTAAAAGATCCAATTGATGTGGACGACGTCACATCCATAGACTTACAAATAAGTAATTTTATGGAAGGTTATGATGTTGGCTCTTCAAAAGGTGAATATTCTACCAATTATGACAAAGAGGGATTCTACTTTTGGGAGAGGAGTTTTAATGGGTTGCATTTGCATACGATCATCTCAATGCCACTAGTGATAAGAAAAAGACAAAGTAGTTTTGCTTTCAAAAAATATTCCAACTTCTCAACACTTATCTCATGAGGAGCATTGTCTTGCGTTTGGCCTTGTTCTAAGATTTTACTACTTTATCTAAAAGGGAATGTGACTTAAAACATGAGCTTAAAAGGGTAAAGGATAGATACTCTTAAGTAGGACTTATACAGGACCAATACCTCATATGATAAGGTTAAGAAAGAGATGGATAAGTTGTTGGAGGAGAAGAAAACCCTCGAGACAAACTTTCAGAACCAAAGTACCAAAC